ATTGTTTCCATCAGGTCAGGTCGTGCTGTACAGACTTAGTCTATGTCAGTCAAACATGTCAGTTCAGTTCATAATTGTTAAGGACTCTCTTAATAATTCGATATTAACTTAGCCATTTTTCTTTGTTGTTGCCGTCAAATCTACACCCTTTTCGTTGATCTCAACCCCTGACAGACGTCCGTCAACAAATTCACAATTCCAATTTACAACTACATCATGAATGACAAAACTATTACTACTAGACAGAGCTTGATGAACAATCAACTTAAAGCTCGTCAGAATTTTCCTTTAAAGTTTGTCATTTGCCTTGGCCCATCTGTGATGATAAAACTCACAAAAGCATAAAATGCTTTCACTATTAAACACACACACACACACACTCATACCTGACTATGAACTGCATATTTTCATATTCAAATCTTTCGAATAAGATTTTAAACTTTACATTTTCTTGTAACCTTTACCTAATTTCACATGGTTTCTGAACCATCTTTCAAAGCATGTCTGTTCATTATTCATTCGAATTTAACAAGGTCAGCTGGTTGTTTTGGTTCATTATCATTATTTTGCTTTAGCAGGCCAATAACAGAAAGACAGACACAGTTCCTTCCTCCACTCAAGTCTCTCTCACTATAACAAAATAATCTTTTCAACAGCCTCCTAAGACTGTAACTTAGACAACATTTAAACTCATTACAATATCCTTTGACCATTCACCTTTGTTATCCAGACTTTTCTTAAATCTACAAAAGCTGTCTTTATCTTTAGTCACCACCATGTCTAACGACCTTCAGGAGTCAAAAATATGTTAAACATATTAGTTCAAAATCAACACTATAATTTTCCTTGCCCATAAGGCGACCGACATCCAAAAGTTTTATTGGTGTCTCCACAACAACTAATGGGAATCACTTCATGGCCCTGACTGAACCCTGAAAGCCCAATTCCTCTTAGCTCTTTTCTATAATCTCCATCAGGGTGTGGTCCCCTGGCATACATAGAGCTTGTCACAATGAGAAACAAGCCATGCAGTGAATGCGGTTTCTGGTGAGTGGGATAGAGGGACTTACGTTCCTGAGGCAGACTGCCGTGACTCCTCACAGCTCCATCCCCCCTAACGATACAGGATGCTGTTGGCCTCGCAGACACCCGTCCACTCTCATACCCAACCTCACATAAACACCTCCATCAGGAGATGCCCAGTGTCTGCGTGATCCCCCTGCCTTAGGTTGCCTCCTATTTGGCCAAAGAAGGTCTTACCCGTCATCGAGATGACCACTCGTGCACACATGGTAACCGCCATTTTCTCAAAACCGTTTTCTTCAACAAAATCTGTTGTTTCTGGAGCTTAGGAAAAATATTCAAGAGTCACCAGGGCCATTTGGATTGCCTAATAGTTGTAACACAGGGAGACAGGTTAATAACAACAGTATTCAATCACTTAAATCCATTAACCATCTTAAAAGCAGCAACTAGCTACTCAGTGGATTTAGATCACAACCGTACATTCAGTGCACTTCATCTGTAGGCGGAGCCATCAGCCCCGCCCCCGTTTCATGGTGGGGACTAAGATCTTCAGACAAAGAAGTTATTGGTTCACAAACAACCTAGTCAAAGATGTATCTTCGTTTCGTCTATTATTATTTTAATGACTTCTTGAAAGTTCTTCAGTTTTACTTTTAAAACATTTAAAATACAAATTGCCTCTAAATGGCAATGATTTCTCTTAACATCTCTGTGTCTATGATCTTCAACTGAAACACTGTGTTTTAATACAAATAGCTTATTATCACTAATGACACAGGCTCAGATAACATCTGTAGCTGACATTGAATGAGAGAGAGACTGTGAGGGATTCAGGACTGGTACTGCACGCTCATAAACTTCTAACATCAAACTTTATCCCATCGTTTAACTCTATTCCAACTTAAGGCATCTTTGCCAGAAATTACATACGGTTTCAAATAAACATTATTTACATTTGTCTTTTGCCCACATCAGGGAATTAAGGCATTACTAATTTCCTCTCAGATTGAGTCTCTGTTGCACTGGCAGTTTTCAGCCACAGTACACATCAGATTCAGATAACCAAACTGTTTCATTACAGCCAAAAACAAACTTATCTTTTGAAAGCTAAACATCAGCTTCTAGTTCTTTCATGGTCAACTTCTCAAGTTGTTTGTTTAATCAACATTCAACAACTGCTAATAAAGTACTGCTTCTGCTTATTTGTTCTTAAATAAAAATAATTATTCTAGTTCTTAATAACATTTCTTATTTCTCAATCTCAATTTTAATCATCAAGTTCTCAACCATTGTTTAATATTTGACTTAAGTTTTCTCTTGGAGTTTATCAATCTCCAATTAGGATTCACACTAACTTTGACGAGGCAAGCACTCTCTGCTTGTGATACTTTTACAGTTATTGTAAATCATCTGTGCGATTAGTCTCTCTATATCATCTAAAACCTTTTTAAAATGTTTAATTAAAACACATTCATCCTTTTAGTTACTTTGATATATTTCGCAACTTACATTTGTTGGAGTCATTCATTTTACATCAAATTGTAGGCCTATTCATAAATTCACTTTTAAAAATTACTATCATAGATCCTTTCTTTAAAAGGATTCACTTTAAGGCTTCAATCTCTTGACCTTGTTTTTATCTATTATTTCTCAGACGAAAAAATGTTAATGTTGTCATTTAAACTGATTTACTTTCAAACCCACATTATTACCAGAAATGTGTCTCTATCACATTTTCAACCACCTTCTCGGTGGGCATTTACAGTTACGTGTTAAATGATCCTCCTGACCACAATTAATACACTCTCTATCCGCTCCAACTTACTGCACACACTTGAAGCAGTGTGTCCCACTCAGGAATGCACACAGAGCCACTGATAAGCAGTTCTCTGTATTCTTTTACAGTCCACCAGTGGCGGATTTAATCACAATAGCCCAATCATAATCTTCTTCATTATTATTGACAGAACATTAATTTTCAAAAGCCGCATCGAAATGCTCAAAATATTCTAAGTTGTTTTCACAAAGTTTCTTGACTGTACTCCCAGCATAGCTGGACCCTTTAGGTTCAAACAATGGTTGTCAAACCAAAATTAAACATAATTTCAATCAATATTTTACCACTAAAATATAAAATTGTTCCCCATTCTGCTTAATGAAACATTCCTTATCTTTATATAACTGTTAATCATACTCAATGCCTTATTGTTTTATCTGAAACTTATTTTCATATAAGTTCAACTTAACCTGACTTAACAGTCGCTCATAAATAGTTCCATGAATTCTTTCAGAATTTTCTTTTCTCTCTACCAGCTTCCTCAAGCCAAATGTCCACTGTCTGTTCACATTTTTACATTCATGATGAACGCAGCCACAACAGCCTGTTTGCTTTTCGCTGTCCTGTTCCACTGATTCCTTCACTACTTTAGTCTGGTAGCGCTCAGTGTTCCCTCACTGGGAAAATCATGATACTTTATCAATTTTTCTATATCCACACACTTCTGCCCATAATGTTTTCTCATTTGACCAAAACACTGGTGTATCATATCTGGCAAGCTTGCTCTGAGATTTCCCCATACTGGCTGTTTCTACTTCCCCTGTGGATTTTCCTTCGACGCGTCTAATAATCTGTCGGACGTCTCCAACAGATCCGATCTCTTAACCCAAGATCGGTCAAGGTGCACTGCCAGCGCTTTATCTACTGGAAATCTTTTGACCCCGCTGCAGATCTTCAATTACCCCACAGATTAGAGTCCACCTGAAATCTCTTGACCTGCTTTCAGCTCTCAAGTGATCTCGGACTGTAATCTGGGCGAAATCTCTGACCTGACAAATGTCAATTAATTTCAGATTTACGAAAACTCAGTGTCCATGTGAAATTTCTTGACCTGACAACAGGTCTCAATTAATCTTGGACTACTCTCTTATTCGCAATTTACGAAAACTCAGTGTCCATATGAAATTTCTTGACCTGCCAACAGGTCTCAATTAATCTTGGACTACTCTCTTATTCGCAACCACCGAAATAGACCCCAGCCAGTACAGTTCCTCTCAATTATATACCCAATATAAAATGAATTTAGCTGTGTCTTACCAGGATGTCTTTTCTCTGTGCCTCGGGTTCTTTTTGATTCCAGTGGAGCCTCTCCTGGGCCTGATAGCGGTCGGCCCCTCTCTCTCAAGCTTACGAGGTAGAGCTGGAACTGCTCAGTCCAGGTGGCCAAACACCGTCCGCTCTCAGGTCCAGAAGGCACTTCCAAGGAATCCCATTCTTCTGACACCAATTGTTAAGGCAAAAATTCAATAAACAGACATCACTTCGTAAGAGACACTCTGAGTCAAATTAATAAAGGGAAAGGTTTATTATTCTTGCAAGAACAATAGGCTCAGTCACCAACACAGATTACTGCGAAGTGGAGTGACGCCCCGAACACAGGCCGGGGTGAAGACTAAATAGCCCTCCCCAAGGTTATTTACTGCAAGCCGAGCCTTCTCTGTAAATTTCCACAAAGTTATAGGATTCATGATGCCAGGTTAGCTTTACTAACCCCCTCAACCCCTCCCAGTCTAAGATGACCCCTGACCCGGCCGGTCCTCTGGTGCCTAACTCTACTCTTGATAAGGGAGAACAAATCACTTCCCCCATCCCATAAGACATTCCTCTGTGGTTACATATAGAAAGTGAACATAATAAGGAAATAATGAGACATAAGATCCAAATAATCATATCAATATATGTGAGATTAAAATTTCCACAACATCGGTCATTACGTACAACTCCATTCTCTCCTTCAGGGAACGAGGGTTACCATATGTAACCGAGACGTTATCTGACCGCAATCTAACCCCACCTAAGAGTCTCATACTGAGGCGAATGCCGTCTCATTCCTTTTTGAACACTTTATTACTTGGTAATAAAGTCTCAATTGTTTAACTACCTGCTGCGCAGCAATAACTAAACAGACTCCAGAAAATGACTTTGAATATGCTTTAATCCCAGCCGGAGGATCACAGACAAATTTCCGAGAGAATCCCCCAGGAAAGAAAATACAACAGTTTTTATATAAAAAGGAGCATAGCAAAGCATACATGATACATTACATCATTTCCTTACAATTTGATAGGTTTTTCATATGCAAACCCCTGTTTCTAGGTATTCTGTTACTAGCTAGAAGCAAACTCTGTTTTCTTGATTGCTTTACTTTGTTACTCATTCACAAGTTTATAAACCTAGACTTCCGTCTAGTTGAATTTCCCCTTTTGTTATATTTAGACATGATTTAGACACACGCACCCTGACTGAATGTTTTTGACCAAAGGGTTTTGAAACATTTAGGATTCAAAAGCATATGAATGTTATTCCTGCAAGAAAGATAAATGTCACTTATGATTCATTAAAAAATACAAAAAAAGTTTATCTTGCAGAGTTTTACTCTAAACTCTCTTTCTGCTTATCTGCTTTAATACAAAAGAGTGTAAATTATCAAATGCTGTTGACAGAAGAAAGTCATACAGCACATCGAAGACATTAAAAAAAATTGTTTCTGAACGATACTTCAGTATTTTTCTAAACAAATGCACTCAATAAACTAAAGCCATACAATTTCCTCTTAAAATAGAGATGCATGAATAATAAATCCTGTTTGATGTAAATAAAGAAAAAAAGCTATACTTACATCAGTTTAAAAAAAACATAAATAGTGGAAAAAACATTAGAATCACATTAGTTAAATTTAGTTCCCAGTCCCCAAGTTTGTGGTAAAACAGATCTCTGTTATTAGGCTCCAAAAATGTCTTCATGGTATCTCTTCTCCACCTGCCAACAAAATGATCATAATGTAGTCAGTTCACTGGTCACAAAGCAGTTCATACAATGACATGAGGATTGAAATAGTGAATCACACCTTCAACCTCTCTAGAAATTCTCCAGTTTCTTTGATCGTCATGCCCGTTTTATTTGCCAACATATCTTGCAAAGTGCTAGCAACATCACGGGCCATGTTCATGCCACCACAGACGTACAGATGACCTCCATTGTTGTGTAGAACCTCCAAGGCTTTTTCAGATAGTTGTTCCCTCAAGACATCCTGCACATACATCTGTTACAAACAACACAAGCTTGGTTACAGACAGAAGACACAAACTGATTCCAGTGTAAGGGTATTTGATGAACAGTGAGAACAGACAGAGAACATTACAGAATTTTGACACACAAAGTAAATCTATATAGTTTTGTTGGGTTTTTTTTTTTTTTTGTTTTTGAGAATAGACAGTACAGCATGAACAGAACTTTAGAGATGTACCTTTGGTTTACCAGGTTGGCGAGAATAGGCTGTATTGACATTGTCCAGAATGCCATCAATTCTCAACTTAAGAGTTTCTACTTTATACAGATGGTCTGTTTGTGAATCACGACATCCAAATAGCAGTGTCATAGGAGTCATTTGCAGACCTAAAATGTGTCCATTAAATGAAACAATTAATTTAGGAATTAAAACTTTGAGGATTTAAAATACAAATAACTACAGACTTATTTTAACTTAAATAATTACAAAATAAAACAATACTTTTTAATCGTTTGGGGTCAGTAAGAAATCGTATGCTCACCAAGGCTGTATTTATTAATAGAAAATACAGCAACAACAATAATATTGTACTAACTGTTTTGTCTTTGAATACATGTTTGAAATTAAATTTTTTTTGCCGTGATGGAAGAGCTGAATTTTCAGCATCATAAATCATGCTAAGTTATGATGCTTATTTTAATTGTGAAAACGTGATATTTATAAATGTGAAATTGAATTGTAAATGTCTTTACTGTCACTTCCGATCAATTAAATGCACCCATGGTGAATATATATATATATATATATATATATATATAACATTTGCTGACACAAAACCTTTAAACAGTAGTGCATTACTGGTTAAATAAAATGTTGGATATTGTGATAACTGGTTTGGATCGATATAACTTCTATAACTTCTTCAAAGCAAGAGTCATGGAAAGCTTTTTTTTGTCCAAACTTCCTGACCATGAATTCAGAGCTCACATATAGTACCTGTCTTGTTCATGTCATGAATGCGCTGTTGCCAGAAGCTGCGGAAAGGAGCAATACCACTGCCAGCCCCTATCAGAATAACTGGAGTGATGGGGTCTTCTGGGAGATGGAATCCACCTGAGCTGAAATAATGAGCAGTAAACAAGTCAAGTTTTCTATATTATCAAAGAGTATAGAAGAACAAGAGGCAAAACTCTGATGCTTTTTTGGTAACAGCTACTAGGTGGCGTGACCGCCATTTTGGGGTGAAAATTCCAACTGGAGTTACTGGACAACAGCACAGATAGCAATTTTTTTAGGTAGTTTTTTTCTTGCATTAGTGAGTATTTCCATTTTACGCAACTTTTCACCTGTACTACTATTATTAGTTACCAACTCCACTAGGCCTGTAATATATTTTGTACGTTTTAATCCCCTGGATCATGCTACAAACATGATCTTATAGAACATGATACTGTGTCCGTTCTCCTTTAGCTTTAATTGCCGCACTTTGGACAGTGGCTGTGTTTTTTGTTTACATAGTCTTGCTTTAACGGTCATTCATATAAGATAATACTGCAAAATACTGATGAGTTCATTAATTTCATTGATAACTTATTTTCATATACATAACGGTATGTGTACCTCCTGGAAACGGTCTAACGTTATTATAACTTTATGAACTGATATATCACTTTATTCTTACCTGTCACACTTAATGTGGAGAGTAATATAATTAATTAAATCCTTTAACTTCCCTGTCTCAAGTTATGTGGGGGGAAAAAAACTGGTTAAGCAGAAACTTCTTTTTAACTGCTATAACGTTAACTGTTGTGAGTTAAAATAATCGCCTAATTATTAACCTAAAAACGACCTCTGCACTGGACTAAATATATGTATAATATATGACTGCCGAGTCGCTTTCACCCCAAAATGGCGGATACGTAGGGCTGCTGCTGGGCGCTGGTGTTGCTGGAACGTTTTATTGGCTTTCACTTCTTGTCAATATACGTTCTTTGATATTATTAGGATATGGAAAACAGAATGTTAAAATGCCTTTATAAGTATTTAAATGAGATATTCATATTCAGCATTTAACTATCTACAGACTAATCAGTACCGGTGAATGAAGCAGGGAACTGTGTATCCTCGTTTGATGGTGTTAAGCCATGTGCTGCAGGTGCCATAATGCATTGGGCCCTGTCCATCTACGATACAACAGAACACAACGTTATCCTTACATCGTATGTGGTGTTTGATTATAGAAGAATTATCCAATGTCTTTGTTTTGTATGTTTTCTACATGTTTAGTATAATACCCTGGGTGTGGTACTCCACCACAGACACTGTGAGGTGCAGCTCGTTTGGATGACGGTCCAATGAGGAGCTGACAGAGTACAGGCGGGGCTTGAGCAGAGGAAGCTGGCTGAGAAGGAAGGCGGTTGGGACTTTCAGAGAAGGAAATTCTACAAGCACCTCCAAGAAGGTGGGCCTGTAGAAATCTTTCCATGTAGAATATTCCTGGTAATCCTATGGAGAAATGGTAGAATTCTGTAAATGGTAATATGTGTAATTTAGAATAAAATCGTAAACAAATCGTGAGCTTAGAATTATAAGGTTCTATCTCCACTTTTGGTCGAAATTGAGTTTTTGACATAATCTGATCCATTGGGTGTTTATTAATGCCTGTGTGGTGTTATTTTTGTAAAACAAAAAGATTAATAGATAAAGCCATAATAGAAGATTATACTACATAACAGTTTTGCCAGCTGGGATGTAAAAACTTTGATGCTCAATATCTCAGAACTACCCTAAACGGAGATAGCCTTATAATTCTAAGCTCACGAAATGTCCCTTTAAATTCTTCTAAAGAAAAAGTGTAACGCAATTACCGATGCAAGTGCCTCAAGACGTTTGCGATCCTCTTCCTGACCAGCCACTGTAGAGAGTTTGCGCAGGAGGCTTTGTGAAGGTGGAGTTGTCACATCAAGGAAGTATGTAAGAGCCTGGACCAGTGTGCAAGCAGGGATACATTCATCTTTCTGCCATCTCATTTCCACTGAAAGACAGCACAGGAAAGAGCTTGGATTTTGGGCCTCTTCTCAAATTGCATATAGTTTATTTTTACAGCCATTAGTGATTGTTACCAGGGCTAGAACCAGAGAGGGACTCCAGGTGAAGGCTCTGGTCAATAGGAGGGGCATCTGGGAGATGCTTCACAATACCATCTACCAATTCTGCTGAATTCTCTGGAAAAATCCCCACGTGATCTCCAGGGGCAAAGTTCAAGACCTCTGTGTTTCCACCCATCTTCAGCTCAACCAGGATTGTAGAACGACTGAAAATAGAATATATACTTGTAAAACAGCACTTTCAGAAACGTGTACAAGCTCAGCTGACGGTGAATGTTCTTCTCATAAATGTAGCTAACATTCTGGCAAGGTTCTCTCAAAGTTATAAACAAATGTTATTCCAGTAACATTAAGAGAATGTGAATTCGAAAATGTCATTTTTCTAAAACATTTTAGTAGGATATACGTCTAACATTTGTTTACTAGTTTCAGAATGTTCAGGAAATATTCCCATAATAATTGCAAACTGATTCAATGGAATTTTCCCTTAATATTCACATAACCAAGAAAATATAATTGTTTTAAACATTCCTTTCAAACATTCAGAGAACAGAAATTACCTTACTATAACAATACTAAGGTAAATGGCAATGTTAGCAAAAATTCTAAGAACATATTTTTTTTGTTAGCTGGGAGTTAGTGGAATTGTAGATTCAAACCTTGACTGAGTGCTCTGCAGTTTCTGCCTTCTTTTCAGCGTCATAGGAAACACAGTTTTGGAGTGTAGAGCAGACAGTGCTGTAGAAACAGAAGATTTGTGTAAATACTGTATTATGGAAACAAACTTTTTTTGTCAGTGTTTTAAGTAGAGGTTTACCTGTTATTCGGTCCAGAGCACAACTGTCATGCTGTACTCTGTATCTCTGTGGGTCCCAGGTATCCAACTGTTGCTCAACACCCCTCAGCTGTTTTTTAATGTTAAACTCCTCACACGCATCCTTAAAAACAGAGAGATGCCATTAATTTGTTGCACAATATATTAGTAGTAAAATATTTATTTGAATCACTGAATCATTCAAGCACAGAGGGAATTATAGAAACCTCACCAACCTTAAAAGCAGTGCAAGCCCATGCAGAGAAGGCCTCGTCCTGCCCATTAAGTTCATCTCCCTCCCCTGTGGCAGTAAGACGCTTGGCCCCCAGCTCAGCAAGCTTGTCATCCACAGCATGGGCAAAAGCACAGAATTGTGGGTACACACGTGAGCCAAGGCCAAACACACTGTACCTGTATTGAGAAGAGGATATCAGGGCTCCTGTCTGTTTTACAAGAGCATATTGACAGGTGATAAAAGTGAAAATCTTAGCATACAAACCTGACATTGTTTTTTAGGTTTTGCAAGTTGAAAAGCTGCTTTCTGAAGCTCTGAGGGAAAGAAAATATTAATGTCAAACATCAAATTTTGAATTCCTTTAACAAAAGATGTCTAAGTTAAGTAAATGCTCTTCTTTAGGACGTTCTATAATGTATCACAGAATGATGATATAAAAAAAAATACAAAAAGCACATTTTCATATTGTTCTAAGTAGCCTTTTGGCAAACATACATTATTGTTTTATAAAAATAATTTTTCATTTAACCTGTGTCCCCTGATTTCATGTCAGCCCCGTTACCCTCACCAAAAACCCTTGTAAAATAATGTTAAATTCCAGTATCTCTCAATCATGATTCAACAGTTAAAATACAAGTTTATGTCACTCTCTTCTATAATGCTCTAATTTTGATGATTTATGAGGTTTGATTTATTTTTGCTTAAAACAAGCAAAAGTCTCTGCCAAGCGGTAAAATGATGATCTTATTTCAAATGAAAACAAGAAAAATAATATCAAGGCAATTGGAAAACAAGTAATGTTCTTCAGTAATACAACTATAGTGAGTGCAAAACAATATAATGTCATTTTAAAAGGTAAAACTTTACAATATTAAGCCTATGTAAAGAAATATGTGAAGTTGCCTATATGTTGAAGAATATTGTGTCCTGTCCACTGATCTATATAGAATGTCATTATATAGATCAGTGGTCCTGTCATATGATGTCAATCCCATTTCTGTCATTATTTTCATAAAAAGTATCAAAGCTATATTTGAAATGGCTTTCCAATTTTTTTCTTAATTGACATGTGATCACCCAAAATGTGTCCTTGGTCATCTGAATGACAAATATGAGATTGAAAAAATATATTTTTTCAACAATCCCGGTTAAAAGAGGGAGTAAAATTACTGCTCATGTGAATTCATAGTTTAATGCTTCTGTAACAGGGATGACAAAAATATCAAAACATAAGGAAGATGTATTCATTTCATGGATATTAAAAAAAAAAAAAAAAATAGATCAAATTTATTTATTTTTTTAAGTTGAAAAGGGACTGATTTTAAGGAATGACCCAGTTTCTGAATATCACATTTTAATATATCAAACTGGAAAACAGTTAACATGATAATATTTCACAATTTTAATTGTTTTACTTTATATTAGATCAAACAAATGCAGCCATAAGAGACTTTTTCAAAAACATAAAAAAAAATCGTAATGACCCCAAACATTTAAATATTATATATTTCTGTATATTATCGTTTTAATGTAATTCTTCAAAAAAAAAATATGCCCATACCACTCCATTTCCCGGACTTTCTCCATTGCCGAAAGTACTGGTGACCACCATCAGAAGGCTCTCTGTCTCAAGCTCACTGAAATCATAGTCCTCCATGCACACCAGCTGTATTAGAAAACAAGAATGAATATTAGATTTAGATCACATGTTTTGTTGCTATTCATATACTGCACTGTTAATAATAAAATATTTGAAAGCATTTTTCAAAGACAGCATTTCTTACCCTGGTGTCAAAGGCACGGTTGAGGATGGTTTTCAGTTTTTTGGCAAAGCTCAGTGACTTCCCTGTTTCGGTGGCATAGAGAACAGTGCAGCGCACTCTCTTGGCCATGACTGTATTGATGAGCACTTGAGCAAAAAGCACTGCCCTAAGAAGAAAGATCACAGACATTTTCATATAAATGGCATTGGTCAGTGGCATTGATGAAGTACAGTGTTGTTTTGTTTGGAGAACCTGCTGGTCTGTTAGTACCTTGACAGTCCCTTGAAGCTGACTTTACATCTCCGAAGTCCTTTCTTCTCATCTTTCCACTTGTGTGTTAACCATGCATCAGTCTTCGAAAACACAAAAACAGCACATAGACACTATTTACCCCGCTAATGTCAAAGTTTTCTTTAGAAACACTGCTATTCAAAACTTGGGGGTTGTTAAGATTTTCGAATGCCTTTATGTCACATGATCCTTCAGAAATCATTATAATATGCTGATTTGGTGCTCAAGAAACATTTCTTATTTTTATCAATGTTGAAAACAGTTGTGGTCATAAGTGCACAATACGTTCCACTCCTTCTAAAAATATCTTTGATTTATAATTAGAAAGTTTGATACCTGATAATAGAAAAAGGGAGAAAGGATGTAGTTGAGCATCTCCTGATGGTACACAGGGGTGAGGGAGCCAGACATGGGTGGAACCAGCCACACCCAATCAGCTGGACAGCCTCCACGCACACGAACTTCTGTCTCCATGTGCTGCATGAAGGACTCGCTTGCTGAATGGTGGTCCGTGATGGTGACCTTATTTTTCTGCACAGTAATTTAGCAACATTGAGTCCAATAAATTTCTATATGGCTTTCTTTCCTTACTGTAGTTTTTAAAACGTATTATTTCTGATACAATGAAAGTGAGATGACCTTAAATCAATTTGCATATCAGTATTTCAACACTACAAAAGTAGAAGGACACTTTACCTGGAAACTATGAATAACTGCAACATTAATAGCCACGAGTGCCTGGTCTTTCCACAGTGAAGACAGCTTGCGTGTTTCTAAGCCCATTAGCTTTCCAACGCGCTACAGCACATAAAGCAGTAAAAGCAAAACTTGAATATCAAAATGATCAAGGCGTGCCATACCACCAAGAGACAGTGAACATGAACTACCTCCAAAACGTTGTAGCGTTGGTTGTCACAGAAATCCCGCACTCCAATCTCTGTGCCCATGTACCAGCCGTTAAAAGGACATGCGGGGAATTCCAGACCACCGATTTCCATTAGCATGTTGGATACTGCAGGAACTGCATACCACTTGAGGTTTAGATCTTTGAACCATTCATACCTGGACAAAAGAAAAGCACACTGTTTAATCAGAGAATAAGCTGTGAAGAAAATTCTCAAACTATAATTTTATTCAAACTTTAATTCTTCAAATTTAGAAATCAAATGTATCTCCTTTTTCTCTGAAATGACTCAAATGACTTACTCTGGATGCTCTATTGGGACCTCCAGAATCAGTTCTGAAGGGATATCAAAAAGTTCAGGATCCTCTCCATTCGCCTGCAGGATTAGTGGCAGCACATCAAAGTGACCATACTTTGGTTTCCATCCTAGCTGAATACACACCTATAAAAATAGTGCACAATTTCCATCAGTTATCAGGAGATTATTTCTTAACATATAGCAAATGGTTGGCAGATGCCATTTAAAAAAAGGGTAAGAGATCATATAAAGCAGAGGACATATATTTGTCCTCCTCAAAGCTTCTATTTTAATTACCTGTGTAAGCTCCACACCTGCTGGGTCCCCGATCACACTGCCATCTTCCATCCGATAGCCAGCATACTTTAGAAGCTGACCGTTCCAGACACGGAAATCATGATCTCCATCCATTCTTTGAGGAAACACAGTGATGGCAGACCTGCCAAAACCAAAGGGTAAGAGGAGTTCCACAGTTAATCAAAGTCAAGGTATAAAACAAAATCCAGTTTCTTCACACACTTTCAAAAGTGTTTTCACATTATCTGACATTTTAAAATTATGTTGTTAACTGGTCTAAAATAGTCGTATGGCTATATGTAAAATAGTCGTATGGCTATATGATTCAGTTCGATAAAGATAAATAAAGATGCATTTTTAGGTAGATAAAACGTTTTATTTGTTACTTTATATATAAAGGATTAAATGTGTCTTATTTATGGAAGCCCATTCCCGCCACATTAGACAAAAAAAAATCTAGCATAAAAAGTCAAATTCATTGAACCTATTCTGGTGTGTTTTTATGGAAATATCATCTTCAGAACATTGCCACCCTCAGACTATTTTGAAAAAGCATGGAAAGAAAAAGCAACTTCCACTTTTTAAATTTTGATTTCGACTTAGTAGGCTATAGGCAAAGTTATCATTTCAATAATTTTTATATTTTTTATCACATAATTATGACATCATTATTAACTTAAGGGTGTCATAATTTCATTCATTTCATTTTTTATGCTCGATTTTGTTCCCTGATGTGGCGAGAATGGGCTTCCCCATACAGTTGACCATCAACTGACATCAGAGAACTTTATTTTAGTAGTAGTAGTAGTAGTAGTACTGACTTAATTTTAATATGAGCTAACTTATTAACTTAAAATCTCAGGTGGTAGCCTACTTCAAGTAAATATTAATTCAAAGAGGCTCAGCTCATTGAAAAAGTTGGGGAATCCCTGCAGTGACGCGAACGTGGACATTTTAATGTGAGTGAAAGACAAAAGCCTTCCAAAGACAGTACATGGTGGAATGTACTCTGTTAAATGAAATGACTCATTGAGCAATAATTCAAACAATAATGAACGTGTTCCTAGTCATTAGATAGGCCTATGCAATGTTGAGAAAACACTTCTTAAAAGTGATTTGTGATCAAATGCTGTGTGGGTCTCAGTTTTCAGTGATAGGCACATTAATGTCTGGTCTGTGTTTGCAATCCCTGGAGACTTTTGAATGTAAAAGTAGGCTTTTTAAGAAAAGAACATTTAAAAGATAGTAAATCAGAATCAGTAAATTATAAGTATTTTACAGCCATTGAGAGAATAACATGCAATCGTGTAATCAATAAAAAGAACTGCAGTCTGATTATTAAGGTAATATAATCTAGTAATTACAGGTAGGCCAACTTCATTTTTGGAATTTGATTAATTTATTTCTTTCTTTATTTGTATCCATTACATTTTTTCTTTGGTCCAGACTCCAGGTATTACTTGCATTGTGATCTTTCTGCCTTGGTAAATCTGATGATAATTACTGTACTGCAACAAATACATTCAACTCACCTCAAGTTTCCTCCATTGGTGGCATATTTAAGATGAGTACACAAGGCATGAAACATTTCCTCGGCGGTCTTGCACTTACGCGCATCGAAAAGCTGCAGAAGAGTAGGCTAATATTAAAGCACAACATGGCTTTGGAAGATCTAGCTGATCTATAGAAAAAGAAAAGAAAAAAATCTCAAACCTGTAAATTAGTCCACTGGATCCTGCCAATGCACCGTGGCGCATTTCTCCACGCCTGCTTGGCCCCAAAAGCGAGTTCATCTGTAGTGAGTGAGTAGGACCCGGTCAGGGTGATCTCCAGTGTGACAGTTTCAATCCGAGCCTGGTGCTCGCTTGGATTGGGGCTGCACAAAAGGTAAGACTGAGTTATACCATTCCTGTTTGTCAATTTGAAAGAAATATATAGTTTTACTATTTTCAGTAACTAATAAAAAGAAAAAATAAATAAATGATTCTACTTTGTCAGTTTCCTGAAACCTCTCACATAGGCTAAGGAAAGTCTCTCAGAGTAAAAATGAAAGTAAGGCAGTTGAAAGGATCTCTACCTCTCCTCCCACACAATCACATCTCAATACACCTAATCTAGCCCCGCCCCTTTTCAACGCTGCGTGCGCTCGTTGTCTTTTGACTTCCGGTCTGTGTTTTCACAGCGATCTTGCATAGGTGTGAATGAACTGCTCGTAAAACATTTTCCTGGTCGACATTTGGTAAGACATCTGCTTTACAATGCTTATGATAAACATTACAATGCTCATGATAACTTTTGTTAACGCTACAATAAGTAAATCCACTTTACCAGCTAATTACTCCTCGACAGCGATGCTATAGAAATACAGAGCGACCTCAAAAACGGAAGTTCAAAGACAATATTCTAAAGATGACGGCGCCCACGTTTCTCTGGTGCATAATGGGGTATACACATGCGTGGCCTACAATATTATGCATTAATCTATTTATTGGAGAATGCATTGCTCCTACATTTTGAATGATTTGTAGTACTGGTTGATGAAATCCACTGCCTGTGGGAGGATGTCATCTGAGGAATGACCGCGTATCAGAGATTTGGGATTCATTATGGAGCCCTTGCAAGTTTTTGATTCGCATGGCGTATTCTGGAATAAGATATAAGAATAAGAATTCGTGAGTAATATAAAACCTCATTCACATTTAGATTTTTAACTTCTGCACAACATAATTCCTATCATGTTAAGCTTAAGAAAATTGTTGATAAAAACTCATCAATCCTTCATTGCTGCTACACCACAAATCTGCAGTAAACATGAAGTTATTTTGATTACAATTTAAAGATACCTTTGTTGCTTTGTGATGCAGTGTATCTTGGTGGGTCGAGCCATCTTTATAGTTTTGCAAATGAACAGCAAATGGACATCGAACTGTGCGGTCGACTGCTACCTGCTAGAGTGAAAAATGAATATATTATTTAAGCAGAAGGACACGACACAATAAATAGTTTGTGAAATACGAGATGCTTTACTAACCTTAGACTGCAAAGTCGGGTTGTCTTTTACAATGGTTGAGGTTTGGACTTGTTTTCCCATCCTGCTGAAAATGTTATTGCAACCAAATCTTAATAATGTCTATGGGATTTATTGTATCATTTTCAGTTACAGTGTTGCTATAACCTGACATCGAAAAAGATTAAGAATAATTACGATAAAGAGCAATAAAACAGTGAATACAAGTTAATGAAAGTTTTCATTAAATTAATGGAGAAAGAAACACAAATGGAGTATTTACCTTTTTCAAATGGTTTCTGTCTCAGTTCCTAAACAGCAGTAAAAAAATCTGTTTCACATTCTGGTCTGTTTTCACATCCTATTATATAGTCCAGTTAAGGTGGATCCTTGCCTCCAATGACTGTTTAGGGTGTGAGCTGTAATGGATTCCAATCAAAACTGCATTCCTTGATGTGAAAAGGGAAGGACCACAAAGAAACATTCCTTGATGGAAAGCAGGATTAATTAAAATTGATTTCCTTTTTCCTCGGTAATATAAATAGTACATGATCACTTGCCCTAACTAAGTTGCTTAAATGTAGCTCTGCACTTTAAAACTCCAAAAATGGGAGACTATGTAAAAAACAACAAGAACAATCTAGAACACTTGAACCGTATGATTTGGCTTCCAGCACTGCAGGCAACAGAAAACCTTTCGCTGGAAAATAGACATATTAGACTATTAAATAGATTAGAAACAGGCAGACGTAACATTTCAGGGTGTGACCAAATGACAATTGCAGGACAATGTGGAATTATTGGGTAACACTTTAAAATAATAACTTTAAACCCCCCACAATTGTTCACTTTTTAGACATGTTACTTTTGTGATCAGTAATTAATTGGTTATTATTTCTTAGTTCACAAGTAGTTCTCAATGAGGATATATTTGAAGAGTTCAGATGCAAAAGCCTCTAAATGCTATTTGAAATTTTCTTCTAAAATGACCATTTTTATCAAGCTTGTATATTTAAGTTCAATAATTTCACTTAAATGGCAATGAAGATTACCTATTAACTGTCATTTAAGTGAAATTACTGAACTTAAATATACAAGCTTGATAAAAATGGTCATTTTAGAAGAAAATTTCAAATGGCATTTAGAGGCTTTTGCATCTGAACTCTTCATTTCTTTAGTAACAATCAAATACCTACCAAGGAACTACCTTTGTACTAAATTACCTATTACTTAATGCTAATATTGCTTCCATATTAGTTAATAGTATTAACTTCGGTGTTAATGCAGTACTACCTATTACTTCCTGCATAGCTACCTGTTAACTACGGACCATTATTTTAAAAGTATTACCAATTATTGAAATGAATGTTCCATGTTGTTATGTAATGTGTGTTGAATTTTGGATCAGTTTTGCAGTGCCATTTTCAGGTTTCTTTTTAAATATAATCAACGTAGTTTTCTCATCAATCAGTACAGTTTGACAGATTCCTGACATTTCTAAATCTTATCTGTTTATCACCAGTCTTGAAGCTTCTTCTCTTCTGTAACTTCAGATTGGCTTTTAGCCAATGCACATTTAGTGCCATGAACTGCTCGATGGAAACAGACAGTGATCCAAATGCAGGCTTTATTGAGAGGAAGATCAAGGAACAAGTACGAGAGAAACCAGGTTAGCAGTCTAGATCAGCAAACAATGCAAGGATACGGCAAACGGGAAAATCAGATACAGGCAGGGAGTCCAGGAACTGTGAAACTTGAAAACACTAAGAAAGAAGAAACTATGAAAACGCTCAGCGTGCTGTAGTATGACACTTACAAAACTCAGCAATGGTACAAAGGGCTTAAGACAGGTGCACTAAACAAGATAATCAAACATAACATAGTCTTGACGCTTTTGACAATACGTCAACATCCGCCGTTTTAGGGTACCCTTTAACGTCAGTTAGATGACAATCCTGGGGCGTCATTTAGATAACGCGGGTAGGTTTAGGTCTGGGGTAGGGTTAGGATTACATAGAGTCATCTAACGACGTTAAAGGTACCCTAAAACGGCGGATGTTGACTTATGGTCAAAAGCGTCAGTTGCATGATGTCTAAACACAGGTGCACAAAATCAAAGGTGATGAGACCTGGTGGATAATGAGAGAAAAGATGAAAATAATAAACAGGGAAGGAGTGTCCTCCTGAGGCTCTCTCAAGGCCACTACAGCTGCCTATTGTCACATTTAGCATAACTGGATTTTTACCCCCATCTAGCAGTGAAAAGGTATATGACCATCCAGTGAATGTTAGTTTCTGTTCCTCTCAATTCCGATTTCGTTTTAACTTCTACGGTGGCCAATGTTGTCCAAGATTAATATGGCTTCCTGTTCGACCTAATCCATGAGTGTTCCTTCAAGTGATGAGGTTATTTTAGAAAACTATTAGAATTTGCAGGTAACATAGGTTATGTAAAATGAATAATAGTTTTATGTTTTTGTTATTTTTTTACCATATCATTGCTATCATCAGTTATCAGGTTCCCAGACGAATGCAAGATAATCTTAGTAAAGTAACTTTTATCAGTGCTATCGTTATTCTGTATGTTGTACGACATCAATAGCGTAAGGCAAAGTTTACATTGTAGGCTATATCATTTTTTTCTCCATGTCAGAGATCAGTTGATGTGACGGGGGTGCTAGGGAGAGGTTGAGGTAGTGGGAAAGAAAAAGATAAAAACAGGGCCGGTGCCAGTGAATTGCGTAGACATCCACCAAGGCATATTATACACTCACGAGAATACTTTATTACTTGAACGATGTAAATATACATTAATGAGCACATATATTTTTGAAAGAACTAAGTGTTTTTAGCTAATAATAATCTAAAAAAAGTTACACCGAGTAGCTTTAAATAATCATGTCCATTCCAGCTGGATTGATGGCAGATGAATTTAAGAGACATTTATGTAAATGGCATTTCCTCATTTTGCAGTCTTGTGAATTTGAGTTACATAATTTTTCCATGCTCAAAAAAAGCAGACAATGCAATCTGCTGACAACATTAAAAAATGCATCTCACCACTGACTTCCTTGATTTCCATCAGTGATACCAGACAAAGGTGTGTTTTCTCAAGAAAAACAAATGGGTATTTTTATACCTTAAATAAAATCTTTTGAAATGGCTTGACATATTTAAATCAATAAGCCATATAGCTTTGGCACATTTCCCAGTAACTGTTTTAAGGGCCTAAAATTAATCCGCAAGTCGTCATTAGATAACTAAAACATGAAAGTCACTGCTGAAAGCAATTTTATCTTGGTAAAACTAATAAAAAACCATGGACTCAAGTCAAGTATTTCAAATGTGTATTTTTCCTTTGTCGTATGATGGATTGCTGTCAAGAAGTGTGAAATTGTTCAAAGGATTCCTTGAAAAAGCTGCCATGGAAAATGAAAGCAAATGAAAGCAAGTATCTTTTTTTTGTTTTACTTATCTTGATCTTCTTTAATTAGTCTAATAATCATATATTTTAGATTTTGATGATTTTGAACATTTTGATGCTGACCTTTGTTCACTTCTTCTAACCTCCGTGTTTATTTAAACATTTCACAGTGAACCGTAAATAACCAAGATTGCAGACAATAATGTCGTGAGATGTCATGAACTGATAATCTGCCTAATACTGCATGTGTGATGGTGCGGCTAGGATTCTGAAGAACCATTGTTTCTGAGAACTGATGTGAATAGATAGCTTGTGAATGGGTGAAATGGTTTCCTCAAGTTATTTATATGGCTTTTCCGAATCGTAATCTATTTTTAGAACAAACTATGTAATCTTTTGACTATTTCCTTGTACATGCCCATAAAAGTTTGTTTCACGCGTTCACACTTACAAATAATCAGGTAAGGGCTCCGAGCTTGGAATGTGGTCCAAACCAAGAGTACTCCTCCGTATCCCTGGCTGGGATAGGAACCAGCCAAGGGCGAGGAGGCTGAGTGGCAGAGGGATGCAGAAAAAAACTGAACATAGGTTAGTTGGCTATTATAGGCCTGATTGGGGAGATCATTTGAACGTGCTTATCCCAAACTTTGTTAATAAAACATAATTTCAAATGAAATTCATCAAGTGATCTAGGCCAGGTTATGATGAAATAGAGCAATTAATGCAAATACTGGTAACATGATTGTGGAATGCAGCTCTTTGGTGGCATAATAACTATGTGATGGGCCCAATGGACTTTCCAGGAAATCTAGAATATTGATACTGATTTCAGATGCCAAAGGTTTCTTTTTGTCTTACCGTGACACAAAGCCAAAATGCAAATAAAACCCATTATAATCAGTGATGCTGTCTACACTGGATGTGGCACCATTGACTTCCATTGTATGGAGAATTTTTTTATTTCCATTTAAGAGATTCATTCAGACTTGAAAGTGAGTAAATTACTTTTAATAAACTTTCCTTTTAATATTTCACAAGAATGCATATATTATATTTGAATAATTTATACATTTTTAAACAGTGCTATTGCATTAAAGAAGGTCCCTTTAATCACTTACTCAGCTCTCAGGAGCACCTTTCATGAGCACATAATTAAAAAAAAAAAGTTATAAACAACATACTGTTTTTGACACAATAATATAATTAGAACAGAAAAATATATTAAAATACTAAAATAGTTTCTCTCCACCAATTCCAGTGGTCTCAGAGCTGTAAAGTCCGGTGATCGCAGCACTGTAGATTTAAAAATCTTGCTTTCCCCTTGCTGTTAATTAATTTGACCAGACACCAGTTATTTTGCCAAGAGATCATTAACATTGGAATGTATATCCAATGCTGGTGGAAACTAACTATACACTGCATATACTTTCAGTCTCTAACTCTTCCCGCATACACTCAAAGTCACCCCAAATCTCTCTCTCCCACATATGTATTCAGAACAGTATGTGAACAGTATTATCAATAAAATACAATGATTACAAATGATTATAAAATTAATAAAACTACTAAAAACAATATTAAATTATGAAATTTTAGGCACCAGTCAGTTTTAGGAGGAGGAATCTGGAATCCGCTCCATAAGGGGGGTATTCTGTCACTATTCCCTGTGTGTCTGTGTTTAATGACTTTTTATTTTGCCGTTCTTTTGGTTTGAAGTTTCAGTTCCTGCGATTTAGTTCCTGATTCTATTATTATTTTTTCCATAGTTACCTTTTTTTTCACAACTGTTCACCTACACCTGTCTTTAGCCCCTGGTAATCCTGTGTATTTAAATCTTTAATCTATGTCTGTTCTCCGTCTTGTGTTAACTTTTTGTGCTGGTATGTACCTATATCTCTGTTTGGTTCCTAGTGTTTATTAAATGGCATTTCATCATTTATCCCCATCAAGCCTCA